ATCACCCCAAAACCCCAAAACCCCAAAACCCCTTATCAAATAAAAATTTTTGAGCAAAATTAAGGTAAAAATATGCACAATGCGTTTGGATGGGACACCTGAAACTGAAGGCGCTTTGAGAGGATTATTAAACCTAAACTACCTTAATTAAGGAAGCCAACTAGGAAACACTTTCTTCCCCACTCTAGCTCTAATTTCATGTTTCCATAATATTTATATTTCAGATTCCGGATGGCCTACAGTAATAGAACTTCAATTTTTAAAAAGAAAGATGACCCTGATCAGGTGTTATTACGAAAGTGCATTCAAAGCTTGTAAGTACTTTTTAACCAAAATCCCTAAAATTTGATATCTAATTTTGATAGGGACAGGAAAAAGTCAAAGTTCAATGTGAAGCAGGCAATATATAATGAGATATACTCAGATTCAAAGAAACCATCTAAATCTGTCATGCAAGTTCTTAGGGAGAATAATGACCCTGAAACTCTTAAGAAGGAGATGGATCTTTTCAATAATTTCGAGGTGAGGAGCATCATATTGTCCGTTTATGATAAAACTTTACTGACTGGTTTTATAGTTCCCGAAAGATGTGAGAATCACTTCAAATGTTCTTGAAATGCATCCTCAGATTCTGAGGGATAAGTTAAGAATCAACAAGGTGATTCACAAGCATTTTGATCCTTCTCTTTATGAGCGGGAGAACATTAAGGCAATAAGACAAATTATGAAGCTTGATAGATCCCAAAGTAGCCAAGAAGCTGAAAGTCTCTACAAGCCATATGCTAAAGAGGACAAAGGTGTCAGAGCAATCCTTGAGAAGAGACGGCAAGGGAAAAGAAAGAGCCCAAAGCATAGCTATGACAGCAAAAGGGAGCCTCCTCTTGGAAAACTTATCCTTAATGATTTCAAGACGATGCTGGAAAAAGATGAAAATATTGAAGATACAAGGACTTATTTAGAAAGAAAGAATAAAGTCACAGATATTATGGATGATTATTACTCAAGACATATATATAAAGGTATACATAAGCCAGACCATCTCTTCATGTTCAAGGCTAAACCCTTAATTCCTCAAGGAAGGATCCTTCTTGAGCGAGAGAGAAAGAAAGATAAAAGCAAATGAAAAGGACCAAAGATTAGAGTAGGAGACTCAGAAGTTTCTCTACTGTCACCTATAAAGGGAGAAGGAGGGAAATTTAACTTTGATGAATTTGAAGTAGAGAATATTCTGGCAAATGATAAAACCAAGGATACTGACCAATTCAAGAATGACAGAATGAGAAAGAATAGTGCTATTTTTATCACACAGAATCATCATCAAAAATAGCAATGGGGACATAACAGATGTATTGAACACTAGCCCGAAAGTTTCAAACTTGCAGAAATCGATAGAGATGCTCAAAAGCTCTCAAAATGGAAGACCAAGAAATGCAAGAGGATCGGATGATTTAGAATATTCTCCTAAACTTCCAAATTTAAAAAGAAAAATAAAGCATCAGACATTAAGAAAGAAGAGCCAAGAAAGACCAGTGAAATTAAATTCTATCAATACTAGCTCGGCCAATGCAAGGTAATAACATATTTATACTCATTTCCTTTAGGATTTCACCTCAAATCCAAATTCCAAGCTTAAAACACCCAGTCTCTCCATCTAAACCTAAAACAACCACCCTCCCTAAAAACCCTCAACTAAGCCTCCACCAAAAGCTCTTAGACATCGCGAAAAATGACCCTTCTCCACCCTCTACTTCCTCTAAATACCCAGCCCACAAGAACATCAGTAACAAATAACTTCTCAAAGCGTATGGACTCCATCTCAGACACCATTGACAAGCTCAAAGGAGCCATTGAAACCTACGAAGAGCACCTCAACGCAAACGTCTTCAAGAAGAACATCACCTTTGAAGAGATCAAGGAGGACAACGAACAGGCTAGAGTCAGAAATATAGACAACTTCTTAAACCCAGACTCTATTGATAAATTCAAGAATGAGAACTTCTTGAATTCCCTGTATTTAAGCCACATGCAAGCCAAATCTGTGTGGAAGCCAGACAAGTTCAAACTGGCTGACCGCCTGGTCTATAATATTCAGCAAAATCAGTAAATTATATAGTGGGATCAGCTTAAAGTGCATTGGATGGACATGTAAATATCTTGGATAAGCACAGGTTTAACCCTTATTACTGAGATTCTTTAGTGAATTACTTATCATATAAAATCTGTATGGATAAATTTGTTTTTTGTCAATGTAACTGTTTATTAGGTTTAATTCAATAATTATCATCGTTAAAGGGGTTTTGGGGTTTTGGGGTTTTGGGG